TGTTGCAAAGATTATGGTGAAGAATGTCTTAACGAAACATCCACTGCAGCAACGCTTCAAATGGCAGCATTTAAATCCAAGTCTGAAAGGTCAGAATACACGTGCAGATGGATATCACATATGTCATATGTGTATTTAAGGTCTAAATGTTTACGGGAACATCAAGGAAGCACTCTGGAAAAACAATGTAAAAACACTTACACAATACTGGAGAAGAATCCAGTGTATGATAATACAACTGGACTGAACTACAAAAACATTTACTGTGCACAGTGCAACAATGTTGGAGACAGGGTAAGACCATGGGTAACTAAAATCCAGTGCGAAGACCCTGCAAGTTCAGACAATTTTTTCCAGAATATCAATGATAAATTATTGAATGCTGACATCTCCTTTATTTTTGACTTTCTTAAACAAGATGAAACATGTAGCTTAGAGTTTATACCACCAACGAACACAAGGCAATGTTTGCCCACTATTTATCAGTGTACAAGATGTAAGGAAAGTGCAATTGCACACCTCTGTGCTTCAACTGGGCAAGACATAATCTATGTATTCCCATATAAAATATACCACAACTGGTACTGTATGAAATGTGTTCGGGATGAGAGGATGGGTATTTGTGATATATTAGATATGCCGCAGGAGTTTAGTAAAGTTAAGAATGCTATGTTTTCTCTTCAATTATTACTTGACCTTAACTTCAAGAAGCTAATCAGTACAGGTGGGCAGCTAAGTCTCAAGTCGTTAGAATTTGATTGTGATGTCAGGGGCTCCTGCAAAGCAAGCAAATGCCCAAAGGGTTATGCCTTGAATGACAACTCATGTTTGCTGGTCAGTAGACTCATCAATGTTATCATTAGATGCCATTTCAAACTCCCCAATGCTTCTTATTTGTGTGGTGGAAACAAAGGAGTGTTTGCTAAGTATGTCCATGAAACAATGCATACCTTGATTAAAGAAGCATATCAACCACTGGGGCTCATAAAGCATGTATATATCACTACATTTTCTGATTTAATCAAGCAAGGTAAAATTGGATATGAATTCAATGTAGCAATTGGTGCTAAAGCAAGTAATGCTACAGTTTTACAACTAATGGCTCAGATGTTTGAGAAATGTACAAACCTTGCAGACCGAACCATTAAGCACCCACCTGAACTGAACATGACTTATAAACTGTTACCATACGTACCACCCTTCCCAAGGGATGTTTCAGAGGGCAAGGAATACCAGAATACTGACAAGATGAGCAACAATGTTGGTATATTAGAGATAAGGTTATTACAATGGTTGTGCTGTTTTATTTTATTCTTAGTCTTTTGAATATTGACAAAAGATGTATTACCTTACGGGTAGATTTATAATGTTAATATATATGTTATATATGTTGTTTCATAAATTTAATTAGAGGTTATGTCACTATCGTTGCATATATGCCAGAGGATTTCAGTTATATGGCCCGACCTTGGGAGGGACATTGATCACTGAGAACCGAGGGCATATTTGCTACTATAGTGACATAAATGATTAATAACATACCTATGATGATCTAGTCTGGTCAGAGAGTATCGTTTTCTTATCTAACTAGCAATGGTTCGGGAATGATGATTTATTCCCATGTTTGCATCTTACGAATGCACTAGTCAATTTGACCTAAGCCTAATGTATGACGTAGTCCAAGCGCTTGACCTATCAGAAAGTTAGCGGACGCGGGCTTCAAAAAGTTATATTGGCCAGCTCTCTTGTGAACAGTTTACACTATACTTCGTCATAGGTATGTTATAATATACTTTATCATATCCTTAGGGTTGGTAGATTCAGAGATAAGATTTGTACCATGGTTATATTACGTTATACCATGTTATGTCAGATGCAACACTGTTGGTAGGCTATACATAAGATTTTTACCATGATTATATCATGCCATGCCATGTTACTTCAGAGGCGACAGTGTTGGTTGATTAGACATGAGATTTGTACCATGATTATATTATGTTATGCCATATTACGGCAGAGGAAACAAAGTACGAAGATTAGAGTTGGGATTTTTGCCATTGTTATATTATGTTCTGCCATTTGGATTCCGAGGCAACAGGGTTGGTAGATTTTACTGTGGTTATATTATCTAATGCCATATTATGTCATAGGCAAAAGTGTTGGTCAGCTTAGAGATAATATTTGTACCATGGTTATAGTATGTTATGCCATGTTATGTCAGAGGCATCAGAGTTAGTACACTAGAGATGTGATTGTTTACAATGGTTTTACTGTTTGTGACACTATTTCCTGTGATTGTGTACCTCATCATACAATAACTAATTGTTATACAGATGATATACCATTTTTGTAATAAATATTGTACTGTACTGTATTTGTCTTTAATTTGCAATTAACTTCGCAAATTTGTGTTTTTGGGCCTATTGGCATCTATTTAATTTGGTTGTTTTTATCAATTTGAATGGTATCATTGGCATTCTTTTTATAGCCCAAATTGTAGTGACCAATTTTAAGGCCAAAGGATATCATTCAGAAAATCATTACAATGGTTTAATTAAATTTTACTGAGAAAAGACATGAAGAAGCTATGATCAATCTTAAGAACCATGGATATTATTAAGAAATATAATAAATGGTTAAATTAAATCATGCTGATAAAAGAAATGGAGTAGTGACCAATATAAGGCCAATGGATATTATTGATAAATATAATAATACAATGGTTTAATTAAATCGTGCTAAGAAAAGACATGAAGTAGTGACCAATATAAGGCCAATGGATATTATTGATGAATATAATACAATGGTTTAATTAAATCGTGCTAAGAAAAGACATGAAGTAGTGACCAATATAAGGCCAATGAATATTATTGATGAATATAATACAATGGTTTAATTAAATCGTGCTAAGAAAAGACATGAAGTAGTGACCAATATAATGCCAATGGATATTATTGATGAATATAAAACAATGGTTTAATTAAATCGTGCTAAGAAAAGACATGAAGTAGTGACCAATATAAGGCCAATGGATATTATTGATGAATATAATACAATGGTTTAATTAAATCGTGCTAAGAAAAGACATGAAGTAGTGACCAATATAAGGCCAATGGATATTATTGATATGTATAATACAATGGTTTAATTAAATCGTGCTAAGAAAAGACATGAAGTAGTGACCAATATAAGGCCAATGGATATTATTGATGAATATAAAACAATGGTTTAATAAAATCGTGCTAAGAAAAGACATGAAGTAGTGACCAATATAAGGCCAATGGATATTATTGATGAATATAATACAATGGTTTAATTAAATCGTGCTAAGAAAAGACATGAAGTAGTGACCAATATAAGGCCAATGGATATCATTGAGAAATTCAATACAATGGTTCAATTAAATTGTACTGAGAAAAGACATGAAGAAGTTATGACCAATTTTAAGAACCATGGATATTATTAAGAAATATAATCAATGGTTTAATTAATGCTTGACATCTTAAATAAGTTTAAAAAAATCATAATTTTTCAAACAAAAAGTCCTCAAAAAACAATTTTGAAATAAAAAAAGTTCCACATACGTATCTTATTGTAATATTATTGGGTAAGACTACAATATTAGCCAAAGTGGTTTAAGCTTGACATTGGGCTTTTAATACAAAATCACCAATGGCCTAAGCAGTAATGATATGTCTGTGATACAACCTAACAAGACCAAACGTTTTTCCTTGGCAAAACACATACAGGTTTTATTGTGTTAAATATTATTATTTCATATAAATTCATATAATTTTTTATAAAAATTACACATTAATTGTATCACAAGTTTTGTATTATATTATGCCATTTAATACATTCAATTTTATCAAAATATGTGTACATTTTACAATAATACATTAAACATATATACAGGGTGTCCCGAACATATGCCCCCCCCCCCCTAGGCAGACATATACCAATGTCTCCATAGTATGTATCATTTATCATTTTAAAGCACATCCAAAGTTACATTGATTTGCCAAATATCATGGTTCAACTCACAAATGGGAAAAAGTTTAGTGTTCGACCAAAATTAAATTCCATTTTACACCAAAATAATAGTCGATTTGTCTACCGAGGCCATATTTACAGCAGCAATGCTTACTATATATGACCTTAAACGCGCTTCAAATAAGGATGTGGCATTTTGTAATCCTCATATAACCTTTTTAAGGCATTTTAGAAGAGTTTCTTTGGAGTATATACCCCCAACATCCTCTTTTTAGAACACAATATCCATCCTATCTTCGACAATATCACCCACATTTAAGGTCACATTCAGTCCAGGGCAGTTTCCAGGATACTGAAATGAACTATACTTTTGGCCAAACACTAAGTTTTGAAATTCCTGTAACTTTTTCCCATTTGTGAGTTGTGCCATAATACTTGGCAAATCAATGTAACTTTGGATGAGCTTTAAAAGGATATATGACACATACTCTGGAGACATTGGTATATGTCTGCCTAGGGGGGGGCATACTTTCGGGACACCCTGTATATACAGGGTGATACAAAAATGCAACATTTTTGCATTACCTTTGTATGGCATAATCTCAAAAGGAATTATCTTTCCTCCAATTGCATAACAAAAGTAATAGAAATATCAATTTAAAAAAATCTTTACTCATACAGTCTCAAATTTTACTCCCTCCAAGCATTTTCTCTGTTCACAGGCAGTTGGGCTTAGCGAGATTATATGACATATATGTTTATACGTATTACTATTGCATAATGTCTTTAGTTAAATTCTACATACGTTTTCAGATAGTAGCATAACACTGCCAAAGATAAAATAATTGTCAAATTAGACAATGGACCAAATGCCAATGTTTAATGTGACGATCATGTTTTTAGTATAAATCAAGTTTAAAAGTCTATAATTACTTCATTGCTAAAGTTCCAAGTTTCAAAAACACAGCAGTTAAATTCTGGATTTTCCATTCTTGGAATTTCCTTTAGTTTCGACTGGAAGAGTGATAGTTAGGAATATGCAATCATAATTTCAATCTAGGTCATGAACCCTGTTTAAAAATCTATAATTCCTTCATTCAGTTGGAGTTTCCAAACACACATCAGTTAATTCTGGAGTTGCCATTTTAGTTAAATTGCACATCAATCACCCCAGTTTCTACTGGAAGAACCACAGTTAAAAATACGCAACCATATTTTCAACGTAAGTCATGAACCCTGTTTAAAAGTCTACATTTCTTCTTTCAGTCCCAAGTTTCCACACGAACAGCATTTAATTTAGGAATTGCCATTCTTGGAATTTCCTTTACTTAGTTTGCATATCAATCACTCCAGTTTCTACTAAAAGAGCAACAGATGGGAATATGCAATCATATATTCAGTCTAGGTCATGAACTCTGTTTAAAAGTCTACAATTTCCACTTCCAGTCCCAATTTTCCTAACACACAGCAGATAAACTCTGGAATTTTGCTATTCTTTCCTATTTAATTGAATTGTACATCAATCACTCCAGTTTCTACCAGGAGGGCGACAGTTAGGAATGTCACATAGAGGCAGATGAGGTAAACGCCATATCCTCTTGAAATGTAGAATTTAAAGATGACTAGGTATATGAGCGAGGAGAGAAGGCTAAGTGCAAGGAACCCTAGCAAAATCACCTGGATGAACGTAAACTGGATCTGAAAAAAAAACATTATGAATATACAGGGTGGCCATAAAAACTCTGTACACTTTACACAGACTTTGTACTTTGGGATATTATGAAAATGTATCTCAAAATTAAATTCTAATTTTCTTTGGATTAACAAAACAAGTATAAACAGTGGACAGTTGACTGTCAAATCGCTATATTTGTACTTACATAAAATATTCCTCCTTTGTTTATGCACCCTATTGTGAATGGTATTCCAACTCCTAAAAGTAAATCTGAGAAGAAATTAAGGAAAATAATAATATAATAATATATAGTACTATTTTAGTAAACCATCTTGTTATCTGTGCAGTTATTTCAATTTTTTAAATTGGGCTAACTAAAAACCTAGTACAAGGCATTAACATGCAAAATGTCACCACTTGGATTTTGTTACAGACACAGACCATATTAAAAAACTTGCAGACTATGACAATATAACATAATGAAATGAAAATACCATTGAAAACATAATATCTTTGTGAAGCAAGTCCTCACAATTCTTTGGCTGAGAATTTATTGCTTATAGACCTAAGAAAGCAGAAATCTATAATCTGACATACGGAGAAACGTAAGGTGCAAGATATCTCTGAATAAGTTTCATCAAAAAGATACATTGCACTTGCCATTTCTCTATGTGTAATGTCCTTACGGACTTTTGACGAAAATATTATCAAACTCATGTAGGGGGGAAGGGAGTATTAGACATTGTTTCTTTTCACTTAAGATCATGGTTTTGGGCTATATGGGGTTTGTTTTTCTTGACTGGTATGCACTTAGAGTTTGCTTTTTCTGGCTTAGTTCCATTACAACTTTTGGTCCTTTCCCTTTGGCACTTGTGCTTATATATTCATACTTTGGACCCAAAAGAAAATTCCTAAATGCCCCTTAGAATGATACCAATGTTAAATTTCTGCAAATATTAAGTGAACGTTATATTGATTGATGCAAGGAAAAACAAGTCAATATACTATATTAGATTTATTAGACTAAATATTAAATTGCATATATCATGTTAAATTTATAGCAATTTGTTATAGTTAGTCCTTGGACTAAATTTCCCTCAAAGTAAAGGAAATGAAACATCACAGACCTTGGAAATAACAACAACAATGAAGAATTATAATAACAAAATGAATGCCAAAGGTTATAGTTAGTCCTTGGACTAAATTTCCCTCAAAGTAAAGGAAATGAAACATCCCAGACCTTGGAAATAACAATAACAATGAAGAATTATAATAACAAAATGAATGCCAAAAGGCAATAGAAAATCAATTGTTGAAACAACTACCTATGAGTAATCTATTGTGAAGTGTTTATTGAATATTAAATATTAAATATTGAAAAATCACTGTCAACTTGTCCCCAATCTTTTCTCTTCCTTTGAATCATTATTAAAGGCAGAATTGCGAGCAAGCTTGTATAATTGACCTAACAATGTATCACTTTCGAGGTTGTAATATCTCCCAAAAACTGTGACTTGTTATCAATTAGTGAGGTTATTTAATGTTCACAGTACAAAAAAATGGGGGGAAATGTTTAAATCTCCCAAATAATAAAATTGTAACCATATTTATTATTTATTGACAATTGAATGCATTATTGTAAAAATCTTAAGTTTACTTCAAATAAAGTTAATACACTAGGGCAATTTTATAAAACAGACATGACTAGGAATATGAGCCCAAATTATTCTAAAATTGAAACATTCGTCATCACTATGATACTGATTCTAATGATGGATCATTGCTATATAACTTTTCATCCCAAAATAAACTTAAGTATTTAACTTTCCCTCAAATATAGTTTTCTGAGATTAACAGGCAACAACGAAGGAAAACAAAACTTACATGTATGCTAGTGAATAATATATTACTGTGATCTTCTCTAAGTAATGGGCTCTTAAAGGGTTAATATTAGACAAAATTAAGTGTGGCACTTCCTAACTGGATTCCATGTGGAAATATAGACGAAAGAGTAGGTGTTATATCAAAGAATAAACCCTGCAGGGCTACGCACAAACGTTTCCTCACCTATTTATATTTTCCTTGCCTATTTTTGGTTTTAGGGTACACCCTGATCAAAAAGGATACTAAACAATGGTCCACCAAAACATGCAGAAATCCCTGTCCTAGGGTACCCTGCTTTCGCCATGACTGTATCTGCTACCAAATCTAAAAAGCAAATAAAAACATCTTAAAAAGGGAGGGGTTAAAAAGATGTTAATATTTTGACAGACTATAGACATGAGTCTCAATGAGCTTACAAAAATTACAAATCAATTGAAAATTATTCATTCATGCAGTTGTTAACACTTGGGATCTAAAAAGAATATTAAACAGGATTTTTGCTTCAAGGAGATATAATACTAGAAAGAATCTTTGAATTGGAGCATTTGAAATTTAACTTCCTAGACACCCTGTATTAATTAGGAAATCTACAAATAAAAACCTTTAACACTAGAGTCATTCAGAATATATAGATAAATAAACAAGGATTTTACATTTCCAATAAAATATCAAAAGTATCGAGAGCTTTCAAATCAATGTCACAGTATTGCAACTCGTTAAATGCCATAGGCCTACCTCCAATACTATTACCCCAAGCTAGAAGTGTAAGACCAAGTACTGCGTTACTTAGATTGAATACAACTCCAAACATCTGAAACATGAACAAATAACATTAAAATTAATAAATAAATAAATGTCTTAATTACAATGGCCTACAATATGCACCATCATTCTTTCCCGCCAAAATTCAAAGGCTTGAAAAAGATTGTTATAAAAGTAAATGTCTTATAGGCAAAGAATGAAGGCATATTTCATGTCATAGTGACATAATTGATGTGTTAAATACCGTTATTTCCATTGTTACTTTGTATCAATGCAATCACACATCTGTGCGCGAGTAGAATTTGATCAAAATGAAACATGACATCATGATATTTTCAATGTTATTAAAGATGAGGAGGCTATCAGGGTAATCGGGACATATCAGTGGATATAGCCCACTAACTTTCCCAATTGCATACAAATGCAAGGTAATTGTAAGACATACACATATTGCATGACATGTGTAGATTGTGGAGGGTGAACGCCTACTTATAATATCTAAAAGGAAAATAATTCCCAAATATATGTGAGAAATTTTCTAGTTCTAATACTTACAAAAAGATCCTTCAATGGTTCATGTTTCAAGTCAATCTGACCTGGTGATCAATATTTAACTTCAGGTAAAATGTTGTGCAATTTAAGTGTTTACTCACGACTTGAACTAGTCTTTTTCAAGTCCAGCTAATAGAATACCCATGTGAAAAAATCAAAGCATTTGTGCCCATTCCATAGGGGTTTCTCTAAAATATGAATGCACTCCTGAAATTTCATTGACAGGATCACCGTTCCTTCTATTCCTAGCTTATTTCACATTTTCTACTCAAATCCTCAATTCAAAACATGACTGACGTAAAAACGATGAATGGGAATAGCCATCACTCACTTGTAGAATATTTACAATCTCGTTAGCAATCGCATAGATCCAGATCACTGACACCACAAAACCAATAAATGCAAAAACCTATAATTAAAAGTAAATATACAATTCATATAATGAATAAGTTCTTTTATAATAATTATTAAGTGATATTTATTATTATCTTATCTTATAATCCATATTCACACGTTACATTTTTTAAATGACATGTTTGGAAAAGGTCAACTCAACGACATGAGGATAAAAATAGATTTGGTTTTGAAAACATGTACATGGTAATTCGAAAAATTTGAATGTGAAAACAAAATGAATTTTTTTCTTTAATTATTGGAAAGTATTGAATACAAAATGATAGTTTAGACATAATAAAAACATAGTTTGAAATCTAACAGGTCATTTAACAGTTCTTGATATTTTAACTAAGTACTCACTGTGTGGTATACAGGTGGTTCGTCATTTTTGGAAGTAAAATACACTAGAGCTGCTACAGGTATTCCAACTAGGAAAACCAGAGCAAGAACTGGGAATACCCCATTTATATAGGATAAAGCAACTGAAATATACAAATTTAAATTTACAATTAAATTAACACTTAAATTATAATATGTATTATATTATACCATCATTACATTTAAGACAGTATACAATTCAATTAAAATTAAGTTAAGACTATTGTGATGAAGCTATAGAACATTCATAATTCTTGAGGGACACACCCACTGTCACTCATAGGTATCCTTCAGATATTATTTGTTATTTTAAAAACTATCAGTAAAGAAGCTGTTGATTGATGAACAAAACAAAAACAAAAAGGTTTGACCTTACCATCATGCTTTGCAGCGAGAATACAAAACAAGGGACTTGTCATACAATGAAGTGAGTTCAGATGGCGATTCCAGTTTTTCTTTGGCTTTTCAGGTTCCACAATGGGTGTAGTGATGGTGAATAAGAACAATAACGGAGACTGAAAAAGGGACAACAAGGCATTAACATTACAAAATGTCACCATCTAGTTGATCACAATATTATGAGTTCAATCTTAGTCAGATTTGAACTTCTGAGAACTAGTAGATGATTTTGAAAAAAATTGAAGTCAGTCTAAACATTATTTGTTAAGTTATTGGAAGTTTTTTAGAATTTGTCACAGACACCAGACGACAACCGCCGCCGCCTATTTTTATACACATTCTTCGTGAAGTTTTGAACTTCATTTTCAAACATTTTGATAGAATCTAGGGTGAGAAGTTACACTGTATGTATACATGTCTTTAAACGTAAGTTGTATACCTTGTTGATTATATTTAGGTTTTATCAAAAGTCTTGATCTACCCCCAGTAGACTCTACTAAAAATATCCACCTATGTTATTGATATGATCAATTTTCATTGTGATTCATTAATGAATAAATAAAAAATATTACTCAATACATTGATTGAGTGAACACAACACATTTGCATTAGGAGTCAAAATGACTTTTCGATGGATATCAACTCTCCAGTACCTTGAGTATTTCGAACTTAGGGAGTGGGCAATCATCTTTATTCATAAAGTGTCAGTTGCTCAAACTCCACCTTGATATTTTTAGTGTATATCATTTTCCATTGTCTGATTAAACAAAATGCATATGTCACTCAACCCTCTTATGAATATTGGATGTCAAAATTATGTTTCACAAGATCCTGTATAATCAAATTAAAATGAAACTTTATAAAAAATATAATAAAAACAGCATATTGTCTAGACTATGTTAGAAAAATGGATTAAACATTATTACATGTACAAAGAGCCATAATATTCATGATCTTCCCATAAAATGTGACACCCTGTTAAAAACTCCAGGTAATTCCATTATTTCACTTAGGAACAACATGACAATTATTTTTAATGGATTTAACAATTCAAGAAGTACCCTTTCACTACTAAAATATCCAAAAGCTTAACATTTGTTATCTACTCCAGAAGATGAGACATTTTCCGATAAATATTCCATTTCAGTAAATCCCGACCCATTTTTTGAACCAAAGTTCTGTGATATTTTTTGGTCCTTTCCCTTTGCCACTTATTCAGACTCTTTTCTCCATACTGATCTTGTTACAGAATACTGTTGAAATAAATAAAAATAATAAGGTGCACTTTAACAGTGGAATTGATTTTCCATATTTTTGAAGAGCTGCTTATATTCAGTTGAGGAAACTTGAGCTTCAAATTTTGTGTCTTGATAAAAAATATATGAAGCAATTTGCTCTAAGGTTCCACTATGTGTCCCATGAATGCAGTAATAAAATGCACTTAATTCATTGTGTTAAATCTATTATTTCGTCTATCCCACATCATTTGAGACTGAATGTTGGATCTTTTATGAGTACTAGTATCTACAACTATTTTTAATATTATGAGCATTTGGCAATCAATTTTTCTGAAACCTCAGTTCTAGTCCTGGAATGAGATATTGGCTCCTATTGGAGAGGGAAGGGAGATGTTAGACATTATTTCTTTTAAAATTAGATCATGGTTTTGGGATGTATAGGGTCTAATTTTTTTTGACAATTCAACACTTGAAGTTAGCTTTTCTTGCTAGGTTTCTTAACAGTTTTGGTCCTCTCCCTTTGGCACTTGTGATTAAATATTCATGCAATATGCTCACTCAAAATATATTACAAACTTATAGTTGAGCTTAAACACAATTTACAGAATGGACCATTAAGTGACCTCAAATTTCATTGTTGCTTTGGTAATCTTAACATTTTGAAAACAACATACCTTAAATAACTCATATATTTTCCAATATATTTTTTTCTCTTTGAAATCGTCGACATCTATTGGATTGATTGCATTTAAAAATTCTTTCAATGGACCTTCATTGGTATTGCCAGACCCGTTGTCCAGCAATGGGGTTGATTCATCTAAAATGAAAAATTATTGAAGATTATTTTTTATATAATGCTTCAACTGTTTCTAACATCAAAACTAAATTCTCTGTATAAAAAAAGTAATAGTCAAGAAAAAACAAATATTTATTAATATTTTACCTGGCTGTTCTACTGCAGTGATAGGATCAACTAAAGCAGCAGGATCTCTTATTACAACACCATCATCTTGGATGTCTGAAAGGGGTTGATATCATTTCAATTGTTTAGAGTCATCATGAAGATTATCAAAACATGCCTTACACTGTCCTGGAAGCCAATATCAGTTGTAAAAACTGTCTGATGAAACTCCTTTTTGTAAGAAATATGTATGTAGAACAATTCTCAAAAGAACAAAATCATTGACTTACACGTTAATGAACCATCTCTGTAATGATGTGGTCACATTTGCTCTGAGGTTAAATTCCGGGGGCCTGGCCGATGAGTATTTTGTTAAAAATTGCATTCAGTTTCAAATATTCATCAACCAGGTGCTGGTGTTTAAGATCGGAACAAATGTGACCACGCCATAAAGAAACAAATAACTGTGCAAGGAACAATTTTGACCAGTAAATACGGCATTCCCCTGATACACAAACTTTACAGTTTACTTAAAGTGATAGCCTTTTAACGGTTTCATAATAATGCAAAGTAAAAATGAATATGTACATTAAAACAGTGACATCTGCACAGATGAAATCATGACTATCATCGTCCAATATGTGAACATTTATGGACTTACAAAAGAAATCATGGCTGTGGTTATACAATATATAAAGAAATTAGGTAAGAACATTAAATCAATTCAAAATCATCATCAAAATCAATAATTATCATCATACAATAAATTAACAAATGAAGTAAGGACCTTTAAATAATCATGGCTATAATTATACAGTAAATGAAAAATGTAAGTTTTGGACCTTCAATTAATTGTAACTATAATTATACAATAAAGAAACAAGGAAGGACCTTTAATTAATTGTAACTATAAATATGTAATGAAGAAATTAAGTAAAGGCCTTTAAATATGCATGACTATAATAATTAGTATATGATGAATAAATGAAGGTAAGCAACAGGATATTAAAAGTTACACAAAACATGATACACATAACTTTTTTGAATTTGATAATATACCTTCTACCTTGAAATCCAAGCTTCAACTCCTAATCCAAGCTTGATTTAGGAAAACTCCTTTGTGCCAATTAGCACTCTGTCAAACATTCACAGGATATTCTTTAGACAGCAAAAATAAGTTCACAAAATGCTCTAATTGCAAAGATTTATAAGTCAAGTTGCCATAATAACCATTATTTTTTACTAGACAAATAAGAGATGCTGATACTAAATGAATCAATAACAAAATGTTTTTTAAACATTCATGAAAAAATTTCATGTTAAAATATAAAAAATCTTTAAAATGAGAACATTTTTCCGTGAATATATTGAACGATCTGGTATATAGGATACAATTTAATACATCAGGACGTAAAATATGCCTTTGTTCTTGCCCAAATATAGAGCCTCCAAAGGTCAGCCTTCATTGGCAGAATTAGTGTGTGTATTTCACATAATAGTGACATTACCTCTAAATATTACTACTTTTTATCCAGCATGCAAATTACCAACTGAACAGGGGATGGGGGTTAGTTATCTAAAATTAGTAAATTTGCAAATAACTAAGCCCAGAATTTAGTAAATTTCAAAGATAAGTATGTTTTAGCTAGATCATAAATTGTATTTCTTGAAAGTTTCTGCGATGTCATGGATTTAATTTCCACCAAGATTAAAACACATGACATCTATTTGTAACTTTCAAAAGCGACAAAATTTCAAGATTTAGTCAATTGCATGTATTTAGCAAAACTTTCATACAGCAATTCTAATCGTAGCTTAGTACCTTTTGATTTAGAAATCGATGGTGATATCCTTCCTGATTCTGCATCTTTACATAATTGTCATAATATTAGTTTAACATTAGAAAAATATTGTGGTGGCTCCCCTGCACTGAGACACATAAACAAATACACTTATCAATGTCTCAAATGGCTAAATGAGATTAAAAGAGCATGTCTCAATAAAACAACATTAAATAATGTGCATAAAGGTACATGAAATCAACTCCATAAGAGAAATGAAAGAACTTGTCTATTTACATGTCTCTGGAAAATTCAAGATAAAAACTAAAACTTCAAGATAAAACATACTCAGAGACACAAAGAAGGATAGTGGGTTAAAAATTGGTAAATTTTAAATTTTAAAAGAGTACCACCTTGTCAAAATTTCTTAAGCTCAAAGTAGATTAGGTCAAGCATCAACTTACTTGGTAAATTTACATTTCGCTTTTTCTTCTGCTCCTGGTATATATAGCGCCCAACAACAACCACTATCACATACACAACATAAAGTCCTATGAAAGCTGAAACACAGAGATAGGTACATCTTGAAATTAGAAGAGGAGAACATACGGTGAAACCTGTATATCTGAACACATCTCTAATCTGAACACAACTAGATGTGAACATTTATCTTGGTCCTACCTTTATTTCAATAAGTTGGAAGTAACTTTTTGAGTCAAGAAAACAGTGACAATGTTCTTATTATGAATTAAACGGGGTTGTCAAAATGTTTCAAGTGGAAATCATTTGAAGATTATTGAGAATAATTTAAAATTGAATCCAAAGCAAAAACTGAAATAAATGAAATAAGTTATACACAAACAACAGACAACACACTTCAGGTTAAATAACAAATAATTTTATCAATACAAATATATTATTTATTTGCCAGATATCTGCTTAAATAAAATATACTATGTATTTTTGTGTTCATTGTTAAATCAAACAAAAATTGGTAGAATTAAGAATATGTCAAGGATGTTTAGTCTTGTTCCAGAAAGTAATCCAATTGCAATATTTGTTCATTTTTAAAACTTAGAATTCCTTTAAAGTCCCCTGTCAACTATCTTATTATAATTTATCAAGTAGTCATTGGTATCATCAAATACAACATTTTTGTCAACTCCATTGATTTAAAGTACTTTATATTTTGCAAGGTGTATTTAGTTTGGCCTATACCACTGGTGATCCGCTCAAATACGCCGGTTTTCGAAACAGTTCATTTGGTAGCAAAATGTTGGAACGTCGGAGGTACGATTTTTCTTTTTTCCTTATTTCACGTGTTGTAGGCAGAATCTCAACGACGTTTTTTCTCACAAACGTGTATCAGCATCATATGTTTTAGAAAATGTACATGTTTGCGAAAAATTAGCTCAGAAGACAACAGAATAGTCAACTTAATTCCTCACTGAAGTTACATAAACGTTTGGGTTAAAAGTGCAGATCTTAACTGTTTTTCAATAAACCATTTATGTAACTTAAGTGAGGAATTAAATCGACGATTCTGTTGTCTTGGGAATTCTGCCTACAACGTGTGAAATAAGGAAAAAAAAGAAAAATCGTACCTTTGATGTTCTGACATTTTGTTACCAAAACGAACCGTTTCGGTAACCAGCATAATCGAGTGGATCACCAGTATATACCTTATATCGTGTCAAATCCATTGATTTAGAGTACTTTGTATTTTGCAAGGTGTATTGTATTGTATTGTGTTTGGCCTATAGCTTATATTGTGTCAAATCCATTGATTTAAACTACTTTCTACTTTGCAAGGTGTATTGTGTTTGGCCTATAGCTAATATTGTGTCAAATTGTGCAATGATCAGAGCTGGCTTTCCAAGTTAGTAGCAACCAAGTTTAAATCCAATGAAGGTCAGTAGGAAATATAATACAAGGCGTATGAATTTATCATGTTTAGAAAGTCATGAAGTTGTGACCAATTTTAAGACCAATGAGGATCTTTAAGAAATATAATACAATGGTTTAATTAAATCACATTTTAAAAGACACGAAATAGTAAGCAATATTCAGGCCAATCATTAATTAAATACAATTCAAGGGTTTCATCAAATCATGTAAAGAAAACATATACATGTAAAGCATACCCCAATTTTATATCCGATAGCAATCATTAAGAAATATTATACAATGGTTTGATTAATCAAATCTTAAGCAGAAAAGGTTGATCAGCTGGCCCTTAAATAATTGCATTTTGATAATCAAATGACCGATCAAATATACTGTTTTTCATCATACCTTAATTTCATCATCTTCGAAACTCAAGATCATGATCATAATAACTATGATATGATATCATAGCGTGGCATATCATATTTTCACAGGTTAACCATGCCTCTAATTGGAGAATCATGTGCTGAAATGAGGATAGAATAAAAAAAATCTCCATAGCCTGAGTAATTGATGTGCTCTTTGTAACTACAACAAGCAAGATGAAATTCGTCTTTATATTATGTTTTTTGATCTTATACAGAGTAATCTTTGGAAACATGTTAAGAATAACACCAGTTGGTACTGATGCTAATGTTGAAGCTTCGGATGAGGATCCTGCAGAAGATATCGAAAAGTTGGCCCAGCGTATCACAACAACCAGTACGATGACAATAAAACCTACTATTGACAGCACATCTGGAAAAAGATTTGTCAACAGAACAACATGGAGAGAGGCACAACTGTCTAGACCTAAAGGAAAAGTAGTGAAGACAACAGTGAAGAGGGTTTCAGTTATGCCAGTACACACCACGAATATAAATCACCCTGACAACACATGTAAGTACACTGACTTTGAGAGGAAGAAGTGTGGTGAACAACATTCATGTCAAAACAGATGTGGTCATTATGTAGACAATCTTCAGATCTATTGTCAGTGTGACTTGAACTGTGAGCGCTATGATGACTGTTGCAAGGACTATGGTGAAGAATGTCTTAACGAAACATCCACTGCAGTAACACTGCAAAGGTCGGCATTTAAATCCAAGTCTGAAAGGTCTGAATATACGTGCAGATGGATATCACATATGTCATATGTGTATTTAAGGTCTAAATGTTTACGGGAACATCAAGGAAGCACTCTGGAAAAACAATGTAAAAACACTTACACAATGCTGGAGAAGAATCCAGTGTATGATAATACAACTGGATTGAACTACAAAAACATTTACTGTGCACAGTGCAACAATGTTGGAGACAGGGTAAGACCATGGGTAACTAAAATCCAGTGTGAAGACCCTGCAAGATCAGACAAATATTTCCAAAATATCAATGATAAATTACTTAATGCTGACATTTCCTTTATTTTTGACTTTCTTAAACAAGATGAAACATGTAGCTTAGAGTTTGTACCACCGACGAAGACAAGGCAATGTTTGCCCACTATTTATGAGTGTACAAGATGTAAGGAAAGTGAGATTGCACACCTCTGTGCTTCAACTGGGCAAGACATAATCTATGTATTCCCATATAAAATATACCACAACTGGTACTGTATGAAATGTGTTCGGGATGAGAGGTTGGGTATTTGTGACATATTAGATATGCCGCAAGATTTTAGTAAAGTGAAGAATGCTATGTTTTCTCTTCAATTATTACTTGACCTTAACTTCAAGAAGCTAGTCAGTACAGGTGGGCAGCTAAGTCTCAAGTCGTTAGAATTTTATTGTGATTTCAGGGGCTCCTGCAAAGCAAGCAAATGCCCAAAGGGTTATGCCTTGAATAACAACTCATGTTTGCTGGTCAGTAGACTCATCAATGTTATCATTACATGTCATTTCAATCTTCCCAATGCTTCTTATCTGCGTGGTGATAACAAAGCAGCGTTTGCTAAGTATGTCCATGAAACAATGCATACCTTGATTAAAGAAGCATATCAACCATTGGGGCTCATAAAGCATGTATATATCACTACATTTGCTGATTTAATCAAGAAAGGTAAAATTGGATATGAATTCAATGTAGCAATTGGTGCTAAAGCGAGTAATGCTACAGTTTTAAAACTAATGGCTCAGATGTTTGAGAAATGTACAGGTCTTGCAGGGCGAACCATTAAGCACCCACCTGAACTGAACATGACTTATAAACTGTTACCATATGTACCACCCTTTCCAAGGGATGTTTCAGTGGGCAAGGAATCCCAGAATACTGACAAGATGGGCAACAATGTTGGGATATTAGGGATAAGGTTATTACAATGGTTATGCTGTTTCATTTTATTCTTAGTCTTTTGAATATTGACACAAGAGGTATTACCTTATAAGGGAAGATTTATTAGAAAGGTGTAGATTAATGATAATGTTACCATGGAATATATGTTGCTTCAAAAATTTATTATACTTTATTATATTCTAAGAGTTGGTAGGTTCAGAGATAATGGTTATATTATGTTCTGCCATTTGAAGTCAGAGGCAACAGAGTTGGTAGATTTGAGATGAGATTTTACTGTGGTTATATTATCTAATGCCATATCATGTCAGAGGCAACAGTGTTGGTCAGGTTAGATATGAAATTTGTACCATGGTTATTACAGTATGTTATGCCATGTTACGTCAGAGGCATCATGGTTGGTAGACTAGAGATGTGATTGTTTACAATGATTTTTCTATTTGTTACACTATTTCCTGTGATTATGTTGTAAATTGTTGGTGTCAAAAAGCTTCAATAAGTGGTGGTGTGATATGCCTTGAAATGGTTATGAGACAAAGTTATGAGACAATGTTTCCATGTGACACATTTTAAAAGGTAGCGTCACAACAAGTCAAATGTGTATTTTATTTGAAAGCATAAGCACTTGACAAACAGTACAGCTCAGCATCCAAATGAAAAAATGTTACAATTTATCACTTCACATTAAATTCACCATAAGAGAGGTGATGTTACTCCAACAATGGGTTTCTGGATTAGGCTAATTGCTATATAGATGGTATACCATTTTTTAATAAATATTGTTCTATACTGTATTTGTCTTTAATTTGTAATTCATTTTGCGAATTTGTGTTTTTGGGCCTATTTACATCTATTTAATTTGGTTGTTTCTATCAATTTTTAATGGTATCATTGGTATACTTCTTTAAGCCCAAATTGTAGAGACCAATTTTAAAGCCAATGGAAATCATTCAGAAATTCAATTCAATGGTTTAATTAAATCGTGCTGAAAATAGACATGAAATAATGACCAATTTTGAAGCCAATGGACATTATATAGACTTGTGCTTGGAAAAGACATGAAGTAGTGACCTATTTTAAGACCAAGAGGAATCATTAAGAAATATAATACAATGGTTTAATTAAATCGTGCTGAGAAAAGGCATGAAGTGGTGACTAATTGTAAGGCCAATGGATATCATTCAGAAATTCAATACAATGGTTTAATTTAATTGTACAGAGAAAAGACATGAAGTAGCTATGATCAATTTTAAGAATGATGGATATTATTAAGAAATATAATCAATGGTTTAATTTAATCATGCTGAGAAAAGACATGGAGAAGTGACCAATTTAAGTCCAATGGATATCATTTAGAAATATAATACATTGGTTTCATTAAATCGTGCTAAGAAAAGACATGTGACCAATTTTAAGACCAATGGATTTTCATTAAGAAATATAAAACATTGGTTTAATTAAATCGTGTTAAGAAAACATATGAAGTAAGTGGCCAATTTTAAGGCCAATGGATATCATTAAGAAATACAATACAATGGTTTAATTAAATCGTGCTGAGAAAAGACACAAAGTAGTGATTAATTTTGAAATCAATCACAATAATTAAAATTTGGATACAATGTTTTAATTAAATTGTGATTTGAAAAAAAACATAGTAATGTTCCATTTTAAGGCAAAGGGTAATCACTAAGAAATACAATACTATCTTAATTAAATAAAAAACTTGAGAGCATGTGTTTGAATTTGAAGAAAATGCAAGCAGTTCTCCTTGATTTCCTATGATAAACTAGTCATATCGTGTACTATTTTCGCATGAAAACAAACACGAATTCTTATGCATTGGTGTGAACGTTTGCTTATTAAAAGATATGCTTGACCTCTTAAATAAGTTTAAAAAAATCATAATTTGTTAAACAAAAAGTCCTCAAAAATCAATTTTGAAATTAAAAAAATTCCATATATCACATTTTAATATTATTGGGGAAGACTACAATATTAGCCAAAGTGGTTTAAACTTTCCATGGGGCCTGTAATACAAACTTACCAATGGCCTCAGCAGTTACGATATGTCTGTGATACAACACAACAAATGTGGCAAACACAGCAATGAGATAAAACACAATGTCCCTGATAAATGGACGTTCCATGGCCTTGAAAGGTACAACTAGTGCGATTGCTGCTGGTACTATAGTTGTTACGAAAACACCAGCACCTGTAATCAAACAAAATATATTTTAACACAAAATGTGCATAAGATGACCATGCTTTCATTTTATATTTTGAATACTAGATATTATATTGGAGTTCAAGATTACCGGTTATGTCTTTGATAATGTCATTCACATTTTCACTCTCAGGCAATAAATCCTGCATATTACAAACAAGGCATTAACATGCAAAATGCCACCACCTGCCATTTGTTACAGACACTGACCACCAAATGCCAAACACCAATTGCTGAATGCTAATCATCAAACAACAACTGCCATTAACACCGTCCACAAAACAGTTGGAGAATATAACAACTAATATGTCACCACTTCCAATTATGAGATAAAAACATGTGGATAAAAGTTCCCAGACTTACCAATGAGAGCTCCTAGTGCCAGACCGGCATCTCCATTCTTAGCATTCCCAATTGCTGCTATGGCAGAAAAAATATCTGGAGCACCATTTCCAAAGGCTAAGAGTGTCACACCCTGGTCTAAGTTAAGGTGACAAAACAACAACAGAAGGGGTGGTATTACAACATTGGTTAGTGTCTAAAGGTATTCTTACAACACATCCAGGGCCGTCAGATAGGGGGGTGCGATGGGTGCGACCGCACCCCCCTTTGACATCCCCCCCAAAAAAAAATTCGGATTTTTTTTTTTTTTTTTGAAAAATATTTTTTTGTAATTTTTTTCATCGTCTCATACACTTTTAAAGTGCCCTGAAAGCACCAAATAGCACCTTAAAATTGTAAAATTTTCTAGAGGGAGTGGGCCACCCCTCATACCTCCCTCAAAACAATGGAAAAGTTCTGAATTTATTTTATGTATTGTCTCAGACACTTGCCCAAGTGCCCAGATATCATCACATAGCTCCTTGATATAGTCAATGTTTCTGGGGGAATAACACTTGCTCCCCTTCGGGATACCCAGCTCACCCCCCCCCCCTCTGGCACCCCCGCCCCTCTTGACACCCCTCCAAAAA